TTATTTTATTTTATTATTTTATTTTATTTTATTATTTTATTTTATTCTATTCTACTTTATTTTATTTTATTGTTTTACTTCTTTTTATTATTTTATTTTATTATTTTACTTAATTGTATTTTATAATAATATCTTAATTTATTTCGATTTTGATTTCTTTATATTATTTTACTTTGTTTATATTTTATTTTCTTTTATTTTATTTTTATTTTAGTTATTTTTTTTAATTTTCTTTTTTCATATCATTTATTTAGTTCTTGTTACTTTTCTATACTTTTTATTGTTTACATTTTTACATTTTATTATTTTATTTTTCTACTAGTTTATTATTTTATTTTTTATTGTTTTATCTTTTACTCATTTGTTAGGTTTTCCGCTTCATGTATTTTATTTTCCTTAGAAAACGGTAGTGTATACTTGTATACTTAGTAAGAACTAAAAAAATACCTTTTTCAGAAGAATTTTTTATTTAAATTCCGTTAGTTTGCTATCAGATAAAGATTCATATCAAAATTCAGAGAGAGCTTTCAAAGCATTTTCTTTGTTAATTCAACAAGCTTTTTGGTATCATTTAGTGAAAAATTGATTTCCCATATTGGAAGAAAAATACTCCCTAAATTCCTAATTACCACGCTTTTTTGTTTTCGAATAGTACAGTTCGCAGTTTAAATTTTTCATGTTTGCTACCTACTCATATAAACATACAAATTTAAGTGTATGTACATACATGAATAACTACTTATGCACATAGGAAGCCTTGGGTGCAGAAGTTGCCTAACTCATAATTGTTTTTTTTTTCTTAAGTAGTTAAAATGGTTTCAAATGTGATAAATTTCAAAATAAAGTCGCTCATTCCTACATAGCGTACCTTAAAATTAAGGAATAAGCTACTTTTATTTTGTAATTTATCTCATTTGACTCTATTTTAAGTTAAGTACAAAAAAAAATAAAAAATTGATTAGGCCACTTCTGCTCTCACATATGTACATATACATACTTATCTATACTGTACTATACATATATAGATTTGTATGCATGTATGTAGGTATGTATGTATGTAGTATGTATATCTAAAGCCTTGCATAAACCCGCATTTCTATAGATTAACTATATTTCTAATAAAATTTACAGTAGATGTTTCTGTTCTATTTGTATATGTATGTATGTAACTATGTGCATGTGCATGCATTTTTTTTACTATTTACAAAAAAAAAATATTATTGCTTTCTTTTGTGTGTGCGTGTGTATTTAATCAGTCTATTATTTTCGTTTCCTTACCGCTGTTGCGATATTATTTTTTTACAAAATTCAAATGGCTTATTAAAATATTATAAATGTAATTAAACAATGGAAAAAGTTTAGTACAAAGCAAAAAAATCTTAACTTACCAGGCTGACTTAATATAATGCTGTAATAATAACTATGTAATCCTATTAAACTCTCTTACAAATTTCAACTTTGAACACATCTGCAATTTATTTTGCCTATTTTTTGTTTTTATTGTAGATTCTCAATTTCAAATTTTCAGAAAATTTATTCGACACGGGGTTTTATTGGCTGACAGTTGCAAAAAAAAAAACAAGAAACTGCCGGTACTATAGTGTTTTCTTTATTTTTATTTTAAACTATTAAATATGTATATTTATTTGTAAGTATGTATTTGTACTTGGCGTCTTCAAAATGGAAAGCCAAAGGTGACTATTAAATTTAAATTGATTTGCAATTCATATTCTGCATAAAAAATTATGCATGTATTTGCGTGTGGTGGGGAAGGGGTGTTTTGTGGGTGTGTGTGTGTGTGTGTGTGTGTGTGTGGTATGTGTTCATTCGCCATACTAATTCATTTAGTACATTTCCGCTTACATTCTAAATCATTCATTCAAATCCATATGCAAATTTTGGTTAACATACTTATATAACTAAGTATAAATACATATATATGTGTGTAGGTAGGTAGGTATGTAAATAAACTGACAAGTTTGATTTTTGTTTGCGTTTTGCTTTGACGAGACAATCCAGTACATGCTACTAGATAATAGCAGTAATAAGAAAGCATAAACGAGTAACAGATTTTAATTTTTTTTTTGCAAAATGAAGGAAAAACTAAAAAAAAACGATTTCTTTATGGAAACATGAGCGCCTAAAAAGCAACAACTGACTCGTTTTCGTTCCTTGCATAACAAGTAATAACTAAAACAGCGAACGGTAAGTGCAAATCAATCTATGGAGTCTTAAGCATAAGTGCCTAAAAGTAGACTTCACTGCAAATTATTTTCAACGTAACAATGTAACAAGTAACTAATTTTTTTTTTTCAACTACCTTTCTTGTTGCCTAGTTTTCTGCATAGTTCTAAACTTAAGATATGCTACTACAATATAGGAGTAGTAGCATGAAATTCAGTGTAATTATTAGCTTTGCTGGTGCGTCAGCTTGCAAATAATGGAATTTGAAAGTCGATAGGCTATCCATATAATGCCCAGATAAAGTTGAGCATACATTTTCTTCACCATTATGCAAGCATAATTAAAATTCACAGCTTTGTGTCAAATCGGAGAGAATTGTTGTGCTTACATTGGACGCATTATCGACGCTTATGCCGCCGCCGCTGTTCGTGTTGCCATTACTACTGCTGTTGCTATGATGAAAGCTATTTAAGTGCTGTTGTTGTTGCTCCACAGCGATCATTGGCTGATGCTGATGGGAGTGTTCCGCACTCCTTGAGCGGTGTTGTTGATGATGTTGCTGGTGCTGATTTTGGTGGTGCTGTTGCTGTTCCTGCTGCTGCTGCTGCTGCTGCTGGTGCTTATACTGATGCACAGCGTGCACCTGCTGTTGTTGCAGTTGCTGGTTATGATGGTGCTGTTGCTGCTGCTGCTGCTGAAAATGATGTTCCTGCTCCGACTGCAGCTGTTGTTGCTGATTATGTTGATAAGATTCTTCTGTATTTGCGTATGGCTGCAAATTACGACTATGCTCCTCGAAAATAATTTCCATTTTTTGCATGCATTCATGGAGGTATTCCTGAAAAAGACAAGGTGATCGATCCTTAGTGAATTTGTATGAATAAAAAATAATACTTATTTTTAAAACTGGCTTAAAAGTAGATTTTAATAATAAATGTAGTTTTAAGTTCTTAAAGTAAACTTTCTGCTAAGCGTAAGGGATTTAATAATAAATTGCTATTGTTGTAATATGATAAACCATTTTCCAGAGTTTTGAAATGGTCCGAAGTTTGTCAGTACAAGAAACGGTAGACCCATGAAAAGTTTACCAAAATGATCAGAATTGTCATGTCCGTTGTTGTTGTAGCGACTTACTTAGCCCTGCCTAGAAATGCTTGTCGTCAAGCTCAACTTACGGCAGGCCCAAGAAATGTGTCAATCCGGGTTGGACCAGAGGGGTTTTAGTTGAGTGGGGTTTAGAGGGCATGCAAAGAGGTTTGCCGAGTCATGAGGTAACTCGCCGCATGCCGGACATTCATTGGGCACATTTGCATTTATCCTACTCATGTAGGCGGATAAAGCGCTGTCTCGTCCACATCCAGTGTCTGTATTCCCAAAACGGCATTCACACTAAGGTTGTTTTGTGAACCTCTGGCCTTCGTCCGAAAGTTCGTGTAGATGCCCTCTCACGTGCCTAGGCGAAGGCACGTCGCCGCCGACGTGAATTCTCTGTTGTGGTCTAATATTTTTCATCCACTTGGTGAAAAGGGTTGCCAAGGATTTAGTAGGGGAGAGGGTTAGGCTCCCTGAGAGGTGACCGTTTGCTTTCGAGCACAAGTCAACAATCCAATTTCCGGACGCCTTTATCGGGAAATCTTCAGCATAAGAGATAATTGAGACTTCCTCTGGTGGTTCAGGGAATTTCGAGATATAGTTATTAAACAGAAACGAGGAAACGACAGCCGTCTGTGGGTTTAGAATTTGTATCTCTGAAACTGACTGACGAATGTCGAGGATCCAGAATGTCCTGACCACCGTTTGAATCCCTGTGGGAAAAAGAAAGCCTCAATGTCTTCTAGTAGCCGGGAGTGGGAGGCAGTGTCAAACGTCTTTGACAGGACAGATTCCACGCTACTAGGACTGTTCTCTCACAGGAGCGGTTTCGGTTAAGGCAACGGTTTATGTGATATTTCAGTGCTGTTGTGGTGCTGTGCACTTTACGGAAGCCATGCTGATGCCTCGCTGGAGGCAGGTGGTACGTCAGGTGCGGCAATAGCAAGGCCTGTAGTGTCTTCGATACCGGTGAAAGGAGTTTTTTCGGCGGTTAAGCCATTCCTTTGTTAGAAGGTTTCCCCGATTCCATCACTTGGACCACTCTCCCCATTTTCCAGATATCCGGAATGATGAGGGTGGCCATAGACAAATTGAGAACCTTGGTGAGATAATCTACTCCCGCAGGACTCAATTTTTTCAGCATCAGCACGAAAATTACTTCGATACCAATGGCTTTTGAGGCTTTCATCTTCCCGGTGGCTACCTGACCCTCCCCGCTGCTGAAAGCACGAGGCACACTGGATGTTGGCAGTTTGTGCGACTCACTCGACGCTTGACTTTGTCCGTCGAAGGATGCAGCATCACCGAGATAGATTTCCAATATATATCGCGACGCTGCGTGGGGTTGGACCCAGACCGGAAGTGAAATTGCAAAGCCTTCCGATGGGTCTGGCGAAGGCTATCACGCTGGTTGGCTAGAAAAGCCGCTTCGGACAGGTTTCCGCAATGCATCCAACGGCAATGAAGCGGGCTGCAGCAGCAGTGACAACTGTGCCTAACTTACGTTCACCTACATGAACGCCGGTTGATGCATGTCCGTCTCTCTGTCTGCCTGTTTGGATGCAAGAACTCCAACATTAGAACTCATTTTTCGAGATATAGCTCCCACATAAAAGATTGTTCAGATCTCATACAACTGATTGTTCAGATATGAGTTTAATTTTCTTTTATTCAAGAATTTAGTAAGCTTATGATCACCTGGTTTGAAGCGAAATTTGAAGCCGTCAGCATTTTTTTTTTTTGTGAGCCAAATCTAAATCAGCTTCTACTTATAAATCAATAAAATAGCTACACATTTATGACTGTCCTCGCTCGCATTGCAATTTCAACAAGAACAAAAGCTATTGTTTGTATATGAATTCATATGTATGTATGTACATATGTGAATATTTCATTATAAAATTATCTGCTCATTATTGAAAAAGTGGGACTCATTCGCTTCAACGCCTCAAAATAAAACTGTAATTACTTAAAAAGCGCCACGCCGCGCCCGCCGCGTTGCAATGAAGTGTCCGTAGTAGCGTTTAAAAATATTTAACCTTAACAGCCGCATTCACACGCTCCTATGTAAATATGTAGTACGCATGTAAAGTTAACATACATAGGTACATAAGCAACACAATCACATCATTGTATGCAAAAAGTCAATTTGTTTATTTGTTTGTACGATTTTATGATTTTATGCGCGCTCGCTTCTTGATCATTGACCAATTGCAAATTAATGAAATGTCGTAAAAATTAATTAGCAACGCATAAATTTGTGGCACACAGGATATTTTAGAATGCCATGGAAATGAGGTACTAATGTCACGAGATTGCTATTAAATGGTGGAAGTTTTTTTTTTTTTTCAAAAAGTTTCATAATGTTTTTTAACCAAATCGCTAATTCTTAATTGGTTGACTCATCGGCTTGGTTGTGCGGAGAAATGTACAGGTAAATATTTATGACAAACAGTATTCGAAGAGAAAAAGTAAGCGTGCCTTAGGATGGCTTTCCCTGAAAAAAAAACTAGCGTCTTACAAATAAAATTAAAAAAAACCATATCAAATGACATCTGATAAGTGCATATATACAGAGTTTAAATTTTCGCTGCATTCTATCAGAAACGCTGCCTCAAAATACTGCTTCTAACCAAGCGCAAACTGAATTTTTCTTAATGCACATCTTAGGAAGTGTCCATGGTAGAGTAGTGGAACTTGGTATGGAGATAAATTAAATCAATGCTATACTAATGGAACAAATTGATAATTATTGGGAAAAAGGGGCGTGGCGCGTCCCCTGCATACTTAAACTTTGATAATAATGCATACTTCCGGAAGTATTTCAGGTAGAGTGCTGAAATTTATGTAGATTAGCGATGTTAAAAAATATCGGATTTTCTAAAACCTTTAAATTTTATTAATCATCTTTTCTAATATATATATATATATTTTTTTTAATTAAGGTGGCTTTAGGGTTTTTTTTTCTTTTTAAACCGAAAACCGAAAATTAAGTTTTTACATTCCCGAGCTGTGTAACATAATTATTTTGCACATCTTCGAGATGAGATTTAGAACTTATGACGTACCAAAAAATTCAAAGTGACCACTTAGTTATGCTTTGGTGATCTGGTATTGAAGCAAGGCCGATTGTTAAGTCGGTTGTGAATATTGTCGTTGACTGTTAAAAAAAAAAGAACTTGCATGACGTATTAAACCAATTGTTGTTTTTAAATTAAAGTTTGTTTTTGTATAAAAATGTCAAACGCTTTACTATATTTCTCATTTTTGGAAATGAAGTTGTTTAATAAAATAAAGTACAAATGATAGTTTTAATTCATTTGCGATGCGCAGCAGTAAGTAAATTTACAAAGAAAAAAAAATCATAATAACTTGCTATTCTCATATAATAAGCATACGTACAAGCATATAAATATGTACGTACAATATACAGCGTGGCGACGAATAACTGTATGCCAGCAGTTTAAACTTTGATTTTGAATCCAAAGTTATGCGGTAACATAATACATAAAAAAAAAAATACTCCGACGAACTGATAACCTCCTCCTTTTTTGGAAGTCGGTTAAAAAGTGCAAAACGCTGTCAACAAAAAAAAAACAAAAAAATTATTAAAACTCAATGCGATTTTTTAACCGCTAAAAACTTGCACTTATTTTATTAGAATTCTATAAGCATACCCAAAAAAATTCTAAAATTTCTGGTTAAAAAGCTCAAAATTTAGATACAAATTTGTGGAATGTTTCTAAGTTCTGTATAAAGTTTAACTTATGTCGTTTTTGTTAAAGCATGAACCATATTGTTGTAAAAAAATATCAGAAAAATTTTAACTCGGAAAACATTGTAAATATTAAAAACGAAGCACCATTCATCCATTTTTCACCGCCACTGTATGTATGTATGTATGCATCTATATGTACAGCATCTTAAAATTACTATTATCAAATAACCAAAAGCCACGCTTACCTGTTCAATGCTGGTCAAATCGGTCAATAAATTCAATAGATGACGTAATTTTTGTCCAGTACGTAAGTGCCAATTCAAACCGCCCAGAGCTGCGGCGATACTGGCGGCGGCAATAGTACTGGCCGAATATATCGAGAAGTAATGTTCTAGAGGAAATAGAATTTAGAAAACGAATTTTAAATAACAATTCAACATTCATAAACGTAATTTAGATTATTTGATATAAGCAAGGCGGTTAGGTTAAAGAGATAAATTCAATTCAAATAAATATCAATATGAAATGGGCATAAAATGTATCACCACATCCAGTCAGTCAAATAACAATTAAGATTAACTGATAAGTGAAAATGAAAGTGAAGAGGATAGTAGGATTAAAATTTCACCATAAATAACAGCATTTTAAGCCCATTAGAAACGCATAAGCACAACAATAAATTAATTGTGAAAATTTCCAGAAAATAAGTAAATACAGCGCGTGCCCTTTCCCCTCAAATTGACGATGATTTAAATGACCCTTAGTAAAAGGTTGTAAATTCATCTCCATTTCATAACCCCAATAACAAGCATTGGCTTTATTTTTCCTTAGCTCAGCAGTTTCTGAACCCAATCGCCCGAAAATGCGATTACTAAACGGATTAGTTTGGGAAAGTAGGGAAATATCAGTGCTGATCTAATTACCAAATGGAACTTTGCATGAGTAAACTCGCGCTATTCTAACATTTCGCACGCATGCGCACGCACACACTCACACACAAATTATGGTTTTTTCAAATGCAATAAACCGCTGTGCTGCTTCTTCCACTGCTTCTGCGCGCACGCACCCACACAAGCACATTAGTAAAAAAAATATATATATGCAGCTGTGCGTATGATTATTAATCACCCCCTTCCCTTCCTTTGAGCAGCATGCACTTCAATCAAACATGCAATTGATCCATCGATTCGATTCATCGAATTCATCAATGCAGCAACTATGAATGACGTTGCCACGATGCGACCAGTATTTATTATTAGCCGAGGTTATAAGTTCGCCAGTCATATGCGCTTGCATGTATACGAATATTTACATACGTACGTATGGTAGGTAAGTATATGAATCATTGTAGGCATTTTACAAACAATTGGCGCGAAAAATGATTGTTACAACAATAATACTAGCAACAATGTAGAACAAAAGCCAACATCTGTTTGCGCTGTTGAATGGCGCGGAGTTTGAGAACTGCTCGATTTGTGCTGGCTGGTGAGACACTGAAGCAGTATGTACTAGCAACAAAAATAACAGCACAAAAACAACAACAGCAATAAGAACAACTGATTTGCAAAATGTGTGAAAATATTTCAACATTTCAAATTCATTCACACATTAAAATGCAGCGCCGCACAGTGTGTCAGGTTGCGCTCAAAAACTTCAAAAATGAAATCTAGTGGAAAAAAATTATTACAGAAGCTTGCTTCTGTATTTAGGAATATATTAACTATTTTCAAAAAAAAAAACACAAAAAAAAAGAGTGAAACCTTGATATAATGAACCTTCATAAAACGAAAACCTCAATAAAACAAAACCATGAAAACAAAAACTCGTTGCTGCGAGATTTTTCCACAAAAATTTGCCATAGATATAACGAAGAAATTTCGAGCATGAAAACCTACGAAATATATTGACTTTTAACGTCCGGTTTGAAGAAGCCTCTATGTATATAACCAAGTGTCGACTCCCCAAGTCCCGTTATACAAAAAAACGGCACTATATTTATAACGCATTTTTTCACAAATTTTGTATTTTTCGTTGTATCAAGTTTTTGATGTACTATAAGTAAAAAGAAGCTAGAGATGCAACCCCTATAACTTCGTTATATCGAGGTTTCACCATATCTGAATATTATTATTAAATCGTTCGGGCATGTTTTAGTAAGTACATTAGGGTGAATCGCAAACAAAAAGTTTTTAATAGCCGCTCAATTTGAAATCTCACTTGGAAAGAGTTTTGACGTCGTAAATATGTTCGCCTTAAAACGCTCTAAAAACCCCCCAAAGTTGAATTTTGTTGATAAGTTTTATATTTGCACCCCAATATTGTGTATCAACAAGATGGTATTGACAAATAAAAATTAGCTTTTTCGATCAGTAAAGTTAACTATGTATCTCACCCTTTTTTTGTTTGGGGTCTGATCTGGTTTAATGGATGTTTTCGATTTAATTTTTATACATGTTAATATCGCGAAATTATATTTAGTAAAATCTCTAAAATACTGGTTATGAAAAAACATTGATTGCCAGATTAAGAAAGCTTCTCAGATTTGTTTCGAAAGTGCCAGCCAAAATGTTTAAGCCACAGCGCAAAAGCTCAACAACTTAGGAGAACATATTGAGATGATTCGCCTTTATCAACCTCCAATCAGCCAACGACGTGATACTTATTTGGTCTGGCCTCGTAACCCTAAACCTCTACAAAATTCGAGAGTTGTGGCTGTGTGAGCAAAAGAAGCTGTAGGTATGTCTTCGGCGTCTTTTGTACACACCGCGCCCGAAAGACCTTCTAAAACTGATTCCAGCTGCTGCCTCCCACCCACATATCCCACGAGGGTTATATGAGTAGAGTTGCTTGGGGCCTATGGTCCAGAAAATTTTAGGTACACATTGCAGATCGAGCTCTCTGGAATACAGGGAACCCATACACTAAACCTAATGGGGACATTTGGTACACAGATGGATCTAATCTTGAAAATGGTAAAGCTGGGGCTGGCATTTTTGGGCCGAACTTTAAAAAATCGATACCAATGGGTAGCTAACCCACCATCTTTCAGGCGGAGATTCATGCAATAGAAATTTGTGACAGAGAATGTCTTAGAAGGGGAACGTCATCGAAATATATCTGCATTATCGGTAATTCAGGTAGCTCTACTACCCCTGAATTCTCACAAAATAAGTTTTCAGCTAGTATATGATTGCCTCAATGTCCTAAATGCTTTGTCTGCTTTTTCAATCCCACAATCCGCGACAGTCCCAGCTCTTTAGGTCCCCCAACATTTGTGGTAGCAGCACCCTGCAGAGCGCAGGCAATAGGACAACTTATGGAGTGCATCTTCTTATTCGCCATACGATACACGGCGGTCCTATACTACCCTTGTCTGAAGCGACAGTTTTGTCATAAAGTTCGCGTGACACTAGTTCGGTTTTCAGTCCAGGCATGTTCCACAAACTTAAAATGGCATCTGGACAACTAAAAACTATCGAAAGGAATTTCCACATGAATTTTAATTTTTTTGACGATCAAAAAACTACACAGTGCGCTGCTCATTTAACGACTGCTCGCTGCTGCTGGTATTAGCACACAGACAGTATCTACATATTTGCATTCGCACACAATATTTAAGTACATATTTATTTCGAGCGACCGGAAATGGGCGTAGAAATTATTACGAGACAGCGCAGCGAACATAAAGTTCAGAGTCTGAACTTCAGACATATGTATGTACATACATATGTACCCAGCAGTTATTCATAGATTTGTATGTAGTTTTGTGAGTTCGCAAGACGCCTGCAGGCGTTCGAATTCAAGCCGTTTACAATTGCAAAGGATTTACAAAATGGGTATCAAGCAGATCCATGGGACCAAAGTATGGGCTTACATGAAAATACATATATTGCACATATGTATGTATGTATGTATACCTCATTTTATAAATATACTTGCATATCAACACTTATGCATATGTATTGCACATTAAATTCCCCATCATATGGTGGTGGTCTCCTCACTGCTGCTGCTGTTGCTACTTTTTACAGTTTTAATTAGCTATGCAATGTTAAGTAAGTCGCCGCTTCATTGCCAACGATTCGTTGCCGTTACTTGTTGTTGTTGCGATATGGTTTGCTGACTGGTACTGGAGCTGTTGCCGGTGCCGGTGGTGGTGATGGTAGTGGCAGTGTTGGTGTAGAAGGGCAACCACAGCTAATTGCTAGTTAAGTGAAGTAATAACTGTAAGAGACCTTTTTGCATACCGCGAACGTAACTGCGACCATATCCAAGTTCAAATTAGATTCTAAATGCGTGTGAAGTACGAACGAAGCCGCACAAATCAAAAATTAAAAAAAAATCGGTTCCCAGCAAAATTCGAATGTTCAATGAAAATGGAAATAAACATTTGAATGCCTTTATTTTTTCAAAAACCTTTTGTTTATCGCTCTCTGTGTAAGCTTTAAGGTCTTCTTGCTTATTTGTAGATATATGTACATCCTTTTCATCGCCTACGTTCATAGCATTTTAGGCAGTCTTGTAATAAAATACTAATGTGCACAGGCGTAGAGTGTCCTACAGCGCATAAAACTAAAGCCAATTATCTGTAAATTCCATGAAAGTCTCGAGTCGCTTGAAAGGGAAAACGAACGCCGAGAGAAAAAAACAAGCGAAAAGAGAAACAGTCGCACAACAGTGTGTTCGGTCTTAAAAAGGTTTTAGCGAGAAAAATGAATTGTAGTCGGTAAAACTGAATATATTCGCGAAACCGTGGCTAAATTATAGTAAAACTGCGTACTTAGTTTTTCTCTCTGACGTCAGGATTTTTTTTTTAAGGAGTTTGAAATTAAAAAAAAAAATATTTCAAAAAATTATTTTAAAAATTCAGTGCAATATAGGATAACAGCATGGGTATCATATACAAGAAAAATTTTTGTAGAATTATAACAGAATAAATTTTTTGGTGCATAAGGCTGAATGGATATGGAAAATGTCCTTTATAAGTTTTTCCCGTAGATATCCTTGAAAATTTGCAATATTTATTTTTGAAAAAATTATTGTTTGAATACACACGACCTCATCATCGAATTTCGTCCTGCAAACTTTATTAACATAAAAAGATAAAATTTATTAAAAGCGCATTTTCAATACCTATTCGTCCATGTAAAGCAAAAAACCTTATTGTTTTTAAACTCTAAAGAATTTTCTCTCTCATTTGGTACCCATATTGTTATTCTACATTGCACTGTTTTTTTTTTTAAATCATTTTTTGAATTAATCATATCATTAAAATTTTAAAGTGCTTTGAAAAAAAATCCTGACGTCAGAGTGAAAAACCAAAAACGCAGTTTTACTATATTTGGTCCATAGTTTCGTGAGTATATCGATTCTTTCGTGTGTTTTAAAATT